ATCCGCCTGACCACCTGATCCTTCAGTCAGGACCTGCCCCGCCCCCTGCAGCTGTGAAACGGTCCACAGTCAGTGCTTTGTCCTACCTCCGCCAGCCCTCACACTTCTACCGCCTGCCCCTCGCACCTGCCACCTGCACCAGACACCAACTGGGATTTGAACCCTCATCCCTCTCCTCTGCCTCTCACCCAACATCTCCTCCCCTCATGCCATCGCTTGCCTGTCAGTGAGGAATGGCAGGGATACAGAGCCACTCTTGTGAAAGGTGGTCTTTTTAAGCAAAGCCAAAGGAAGTCATGCATCAGAGGTGTGTCCAACTGCAACTTTAGACGTATTTTTCTTTTTCAATGGCATCCTTTCTGACTGAACTCAATGAGTGAGTGCAGTGTGGTGAGTTTTGGTGCATAATAAGAATGCAGTGACAGTGAGGGTGGTGGCTGTCTGGGTGATTTATGAGCCAGTGCCAGGAGGGGTCTTCTGTGCAGGATATTGTCCTCTGACTAGTGACTTGTGCCTCTCCCTCGGCGTGTTTTAGAGCCAGGGAGATTAAGAGGCAGTGCTGTGCAGGTGAGCCCTCAATGTAATCAATCACTACCACGTCACATGACACAGGACTGCTGGATTACCCCTTCGGTTCATTCCTAGTTTGACTCCACACTTTCTGCATATTCATTATTTCTGGCAGATAAAGAAGAAACACTCTGTGCATTATTACTATGTACTTCAGCTGAGGGAGATAATCAAGTGAGAGGAGGAGTCCCATGACAGCTCAACCACATGGCCCAGGCAGTCCAGCAGCCTGCACCAGCCTCTCATCCTCCTATGACACACACAGTTAGCCACATCAGGATACAGGGCTGCACATGAATTCCGGTTTAAACAGTATTCAGCCAACAGATAAACCGCAATCCTTCTTCGACGGGTAATCACATCCTGGATCAAGCCTAGAAGTGAAAAAGTAAAGCCTTTGCACATGAAAATACCACAAAAAGTACATCTCATTGGTAAACAAGGCAGTTGTTCTCTTCTCTGGTGGAGGGTCTGCCATCCACTTATCTCCATGGAGATTTATTATTTCCGCAATATATACGTCTTACATTTATTCATGTACAAGTGTTTTTATATCTTAAAAAACGTGCACTCCAGGCAACACAATAATATCTCCATGGAGAAAAGGCAGGTTGCAGACCCTCCACCAGAAGTTACGTAGTGCATCATTATTACAAACTACAGTTCTTACAGGACTTCTGTCACACATATAGTACATATGTGGACAGCATATCAGCATTTACATTAAAAAGTTTAATTGCAAAGGCCCCATGCAGATTTTTGTCTGAAGTAGCCCGTAGTGTGCCCAACGAGAAATGCTATTGTGTAGACTCAGAACACACAGACCATCAGTGCGAACAAACATTGTCTTAGCTTTTCCCCTGTTCTGTATTTTCAGAATGAATATTGTATAGCACATACAACAATGTTAACTTTATCATTGTGAGTGGAATGGGCCTGGTTTTACAGGACAGGAAATGACCTGCCAAGACCCCTGTTGACCTCATAGGGAAAGGCCTGACCTCTGGATGACCCCTGACAGGCCTGGTGGTGGTAGGTTGACTGTGGGTAAAGTCAATAGGTGGGGTGTTTCAGAAGCTATGCAACAATGTACTGGAAAGTCCCTTCGCAGAATCAGTCAATTTTCATCTTCAACACCAGGAAAACAGTTTTTGATTGAAATTGTCCCTGTGATTGCAAGGGTATGTTGAACGCCTGCACCAGTTAATATTAGTACAACAGCAGCTCCAGTGGCAAACTGTTTTTTTTGATAATTAATTAACTGAATATATATATATATTTCCAAAAATAAATTATGGAAAAAAAGGTACATTTTTTTTCAAAAAGTTTATTTCAAAATTCTCATGCCAAAAACAAGACTGCAATATTGGCCCATGTATTTTCTCACAAACAACCCATTTTCAGTTTTACACCAATCTCAGTTTGTCCACTAATCTCATTGTCATAAGAGGTACAAAACAAGTAAATGATATAAAAATAGAAAAAAACTAACATAAAACAGAAAATGCAATAGATCCGGGGCATCAAAATCTTGAACATGTATACATCAGATGCATAGAAGAACACTAAGTGCCAAATAAGTCACATTTATTATATTGACATTGTTATAGACTAGGTGATGTGAGAAAAGACATAGGGCTTCACATGAACCTTCAGTAATTACAATCAATCCCCCAACCCTCCAAGTGGGAAAAAAAATGGTTCACATGTCAAGATGAAAATAACCGTGACTGGTGCTAATGCAAGGACAGACATGTAGCCAGAATATTTTAGAGCTGCTATAAGAAAGCAAACACAGTGAAGTTAGACACAAAACTTGTTGGAAAACCTTGAAACTGGATGGAAATGTCCTTATTTAAAATGTACTTGACACATTTTTCGTATTATTTGGGTAAATGGATGCCATGTGATAGTGGAGCACTTTAAAGTGCATCCAGCAGGCTGTCAATGCGACCCACAAGCTCCTGCCTCTTACTGCTCAGGTTCTTTTCACTCTCGATATAGGCTTCCTTCTTCACTTTACCAGCAACCAGCCTCTCAGCTTCCTGGCATGAGCGGCACACCAGCTCCTTCACCTGGCCATCCAATTTCTGCACTTCTCCAACCTGAAGGGAAAAAAAAGCAGAATTTATTACAAAAACGGTATAGCCAAAAATGTTAATACTAAGTAGAGATGGAACAAGACCTTGTGTTAACATTTGACTGAGCCAAAAATAAAAAATTAAGATATTGGTTACATTTTCAGAAGCAGACATAAAAAAATAAATAAATAAATAAATGACAAAAAAGTAAATATCATAAATCTAGTTTTTCCATCTCATCCCATCTCTAATACTTTGGCTGGCTTTGTTCAGAAATCCAGATCACAGGGTACAGGATGAAAAGTGATGCAAAAAATATTTGACCATTTATTATTGAGCCCTTTTATCAAAATAAACATTTCCTCCATAATATTTCAGATTGGTAACATCTGACACATATAGAATGTAATAAAGTTATTTGGGTAAAATTCTGAGTTTCTAAATTACCTTCTCAGCCAGGTCGGAGCCCTCAGCTTTGAGTCGAGCCTGCAAAGAGCTGATGTCATTGGTCAAAGTGCGGTGGTCAGCTTCTAGGGTTTTCCGTCCACTGTTGAGCGCACCAGTGTCTCGTGACTGCTTGTAGCGGTTCACCACCTCATCCATATGCCGATACAGACCAAGACGCTTGTTGACCAGGGTCAGCACTTGCTCAGTGATTGAGGCTACCTTCATGCGCACCTCTGCAGCGGGATCCTGGTTGAAGTACATTTGCAGAAAAACATAGATTATTATTATTATTTTGCACCATCAGGAAAACAGACAAAATTGGTCATTTTGTTACCTTAGTGATGGCAAAGTCAAGGCGTACATAAATAATGACTGTAAAGAAAAGAATGTAGAAGGCCCCAACTACAAGCAATGGTTCCTGTAGCATTAGGATCTTATTGAAGTTGTAATGAATCTGTGGAGAAAAAAAAAGTTTTCTTTACTCTCTAAGATGCAAGTAGCACTTCTTTAAACTTTAAAATCTTATGTTAGAATTTTAGAATTTTATACACTTCTTTCTCACCAACTTCCAGCTTGTCAACCTAGACATTTACACAACTATGAAAACAATATGAAATATTCTCCTATATGTTAAATTCTTTCAGCCTAACTAGTGCTGTTTATAGTTAAAAACTATGATATTGAGACCAATTCATTTGATAATTTTCTTACCACCACATCCTGAATATGATGTTCCACCAGGTTATCCTTGGTAGCTACCAAAACTGGACGTCCAAACGTGTCCAAGTAAGTGTAATGAAGCTGATTTGGCAGACGATCAATCTTGTAAGGTGTATCCATGTGGATGTTTCTGTTTAGAGAAGTTGCTGTCAATTAAAATAAATGGTTTACAAAATAGTTTGTGATTTGTCGCAAACACCAACCTGGCACCCTCTGGCAAAATTATTTTTACTGTGAGCGAATCAATAACCTGATCATCATATACATGGTCAACCAATCTCATCTTTAGAGCATACTGGTCACCTAAAATACAAACATCACACATTTACATCTTAAGGTTTTAACAATGTTACTGTTCCTAATAATTTATATTATTTAAGAATTGGCAATATTCACCAAGAGTGTAAAGGTATTCGTAACTTGGGAGATTGTAACCAATGACATAGTGAGTTTTCCATCCTCCAAAGAGAGGGAAGCGAGGCCTAACCTCCACTTCAACAGAATCATCTAACACTTGCAGATGGGAGGTGGAGATGTTTCCAATTTCATCTCTGTAATACACATCTTGGGCTGAAGCTGGAAGGATGGTCTATTGCAGAAAGAGGGCTTGAGAATCAAGCTACCATACATTAACATATACTGTATGTTATGTGTGAATTTACAGCACCTTGAAGGATTTAACAGAGGAGATCCCACTGTCTGACTGACGCTGGTAATCATAACGAGAAAATGCCCCCTTGAGAACTGCACCCGTGTGCCTCAGGTCAATAGTCTCCTCCACAGCAATGTTCCCCCAGTGAGATACTTCAATGGTGCGAGTCAGGCTACTGATAGTGAGGAAAGGTGTATTGTTTTCATAATGGATCTTCATTGTGTCCTACAAACCAAGAAGCCAAAATATCACACGTTGCATAATTTAATAACAAATATAAATGTATATTTAAACTACCTCACTATATGGAGGAACATCTCGGAAAGGCCCATATTCAATTATCTCATCATTTTTGTTGGGATTTCCCAACTTGGTGTAACTCTCCACATTCTTGGAGGCTAGACGGACACGAGTAGTCTGGGAGCGAGTGAGGTATGGAGAATACAGATAATGGTTTCCCTGGAAAACCACCAGCTGCCTTTCAGCCTGTGTGATGTGTGTGGGGAAAGGCTTCAGGACATGACTGAAGGTCATCTCCACCTTCACTTTCAGCTGAGATCCAGGAGATAGGCTGGATGAGAGGTGCACTTTGTAGAAATCCCCGCTGTAATAACAAGCATTAAAGTCATTAATATTTTTTTTTTTTTTCCAAAAGGAGTTTCATGTTGCACCAACCTGTGGCCATGTATATCACTTTGCTGAATTTCCAGTAAGCCATCATCCTCTTCATCTCCTTTTACCTACAAAAAATGTATAAATAATATGGAAAAATAGAAAAAGATTAAACTTTGTGGTAATTTTAACCAATAAGATGGTTAAAATGCTGCAACGTATGGTCACATATGCATGCGCTAATGTGTTAATATTTAAGCAATTCATTCATTCAATTCAAGGCAGTCACATGCGGAAGTAGTGCGCTGCCGAGCGCATACGTGTCATTCAGCCACAGACTGAGCATGCCGAGCTGCGGAAGCAAATGTTTGAATAAAAAAAAAAAAAAAGACTAGTCTGATTAATACAGTTTACATTTGCAAATAGAAAATGAACAAGATGCATTTATAACAAAATGTAAACAATTAACAAGCCTTGCATGCGCACTCTTCCAACATGGTATAACTAGCAACCAACCCAGTGTTCACCACACCAGGATATGGACAGGAAATACACATTTTACAGTAGTTTGTGTATATCGTTTCAGCATGCACACCGCTACTTCATGTAAAGCATGTATTTTATTGAGTGTAGTATACAGTAGCGCTTCAAGTGCTGTGCACGGGGTGCTAAGTACAATCAATGAGGTAGCTAACATGCTAACGCTAACAAGCCGGCACGATTATCAGACCCAGATGTTTTCAAAACTGTAACTTTACCGAGGCTCCTATGTATGCGAGGTGTGGTGCCAAGTCGGGTTCCACTGACAGAATAAAGCTCTGAACTGCAGAGTGTCCCTGGTTGGACAGCAGGATCTCCGTAGTGATCTTAGCCAAATGAGTGCTCAAGTCCACTGTCCTCTTCACCTCTTCATTCACCAATCCACCCGCTGAGACTCCACTCAGTGCAAGCAAAAGGCACGTACAAAAAATTTGTAGATTCATTGTTGATATTTAAATGAAGAAATAGTAAGAGAGACTGGAATAAAAGCAGTGAGTTTGCAGAGCTGCAGCAGTAAAAGGCCGCCGCACCGCTCTACAGCGGAAAGATGACGCTTCATTCGAACACAACGTGATGACGTCACCTTGCGCTCTCTTAAAAAAAAAAAAAAGAGAAAGAAAGAAAAGAAAAGAAATATAAATGATGATTTAATATTATGCAATAATGGGACATATAAATAAGCTAAGACAGAAAATAGGTCCAAACACAATTATTTCGTGTAGATTTAATTTAGAAAATAATTATGGAATTACCTCTGCTTGCGGGCCGAAATAGCTCAGTTGGGAGAGCGTTAGACTGAAGATCTAAAGGTCCCTGGTTCGATCCCGGGTTTCGGCAGTGTGGGAAAGCTTTTTGTCAAGTTTAGTTTTAAACAACCAGGTCCCTGGTACGAACCTGGGTACGATCCCTGGTTTCGGCAGCGTGGGACAGCCATCTGTCGAATGTTTTTCGGTGATAAAACAATGAATAAGTTCAATCTCATAATATAGTTTAAAATTTACCTTTTCATGGGCAAAATGTTTTGCCCATATTTCTTTTTTTTACCGTAAATGGATCCTACCTTAAAATGCATTATGAAGTATAACCAAACAAATAAGGCTGCCACTTTCCACAAGACTTCATATGATTGGTTACTGTATACCGACGGTGGCATATAGTGATGAGAAGCAAGTGCCATGAGATAATTCGTTTGGACTGGGTGGATCTGTGAGTTCCAAATATTTCAGAACAATAGAGATTGAGGCATTTATTAAATCAAATAGGAAAAATCAAAGAGAGTGTGTGTAAAGTGACATGTTTAGGTTCCTTCATTGATGTAGCATTTCCAACACCATAGAGTCTCTGGTTCTGAGGGACAAGCATGGACAGGGCATAGACTGTGACCTGACAGAGTGGATCCTAGACTAACTCACCTCCTGACCTTTAGTGTGGGCTTCACCCCATGAACAGTCCTCATACCCTTCCTCTTCACTCTGTTACAGACTTCAGGTAGAATTAATCATCAGCGCTGTGTTAGATTTAAGATAATAATTATCTTACCAATCTTGATTTTTTTAAAATTTATTTCAGGTTTCTGTTCTCCTGTTGTGTTGTAACACTGGAACTTTCTCATTTTGGGACAAAAAAAAGGTTCTATTATCTTATCTGACAAAACCTTTATTTCTTATGATAACTGTCTGTATAAAACGGTGTAAAAACGTAGACAAAACAGTAAAGTAAAGCAGTTAAAACAGAAGTGGAGAGGCAGCGGGCGTGGCCAGTGCGCGGCGTCATTGGGCCTGACGAGCTTGTTTTGGAGGAAGTGAAGCTTTAGCTCGTAGCACTTTAGCTCCAGAGAAAAAGCAAGCGTCAACCGAGACGGGGCGAAGAAGAGCACGAATCTTATTTGTTTGCCAAAGTGGGCAATATTCTGGGTGTGGCAGTGTTAGGTGTGACCACTACCCTTAGCTCCGCGATTAGTTTTTTAGATTTAATTTGGATTGGATTGTCAAACGTGTTGTTTTTTTCTTACGAGAGACGTTTCCCTTTGCATTTAGCTTGTTAGCTAGCCTGCGGTTAGCTAAAGCTTTCAACAGAAGCACAAGAAAACCCCAAATTTAAGCTTTTTACCTCAGGATTGTCACCCAGGTTTGTGTCAGTTCATTTCATGCTTCGTTTGTTTTTATTATAGTCATGAATTGAGTCTGTTTGTAAGTGTAATCTTTATTTTCATCAATCGGTTATTAGCCACACAAAATGTTAGCTTAAAACACTTGTGTCACTTTTGGTACACAATGTTTGTTATCATCAAAGTAGCAAAAAGGCCATATTAAGCGTACTATACAATAATGTCTTGAAGGCTGACATTTTTGTCTTAAAGCAAACTTAGATCCGTCGAGCTTTTACCCTGTTTTATACCAGCCTCAATTTGTTTACGATGCATAAAAATATACATTTGCTGCCGTTGTGGAAGTAAAAATGTTGTGGAGGGGGATGACGTCGTATTGTACGATAAAGAATCGTAAATCTGTATCAAACATGAGGAATATCAGTGGGCTAATCATGCTGCCAAGTCATGGTTCCGTTAGTCCTGTGTAGAAACCATGTGACCAGTCCCTGACACAGTGTCATGGGGCGCAGATTATGAGCTGCTCTCATAGCGCTGTGCACATTTTACAGCTTTTCTGTTATATTAGCCTGATGTCATTGGGTATAGTTTATCATTATGTGGTATCCAAAATAAAGAAAGCGCTCGGCCAGTCACTTGTTATATCGCTTTCCTTCAAGTACTAGAAGAGAGATTTAAAGTTTCATGTTTGGACTTTGATCGTTACAGCACAGGAAGGTGGTTTATTATTACAATGCTCTCTCAGCCGTTTACTAAATGCAAGTAAAAGAATCAGCTGGGTTTTACTCCCTGGTCATGCAGTACACTGTCAGGGTCATAATAAGTCCGCTTGACATGACTGCAACTTCTGGACTTCACACCAGTTCACACCCATATCAGTTGATGATCTTGCCATTTAATCCATGCTGTACATGCAAGGTTAAATTAAAGTAGCACATTTTCTTTTTGCAGCTCAAACACTATGACATCACGGAAGAAAGTACTACTCAAAGTCATTATTCTTGGAGATTCTGGGTGAGTGAAATGAGATCATGTGGTGTGGCACAAGACAAGTGGATGGACTGTGAAAGTTTATGGTGCTTTGTGGTTCCTAGGGTTGGGAAGACCTCTTTGATGAACCAGTATGTGAATAAGAAGTTCAGCAACCAGTACAAAGCCACAATAGGTGCTGATTTCTTGACAAAAGAAGTTATGGTGGACGACAGACTTGTCACAATGCAGGTACATGCATTTTTCCCCAGTAAAAAAAAAAAAAAGTTAAATTGTTATGAATGTAATCTCAGGGAAGTATTTATGACAATTTAGCCAAAGTGCTTTCAGTTTTATTATGATGTTTCAGTTCTGTTGCATTGCTCATGTTTGTTTTTCTTTTTTGCCTACACTCCCAGCTTACACTTCCAGCATTTTTTTTTTTTTCTTACTTGTTGCTCCTCTTGTGTCTTCCCTAGATTTGGGACACAGCTGGACAGGAGAGATTTCAGTCCCTTGGTGTTGCATTCTACCGAGGAGCAGACTGCTGCGTCCTGGTGTTTGATGTGACTGCACCTAACACCTTCAAGACGCTGGACTCCTGGCGTGATGAGTTCTTGATCCAAGCCAGCCCACGAGACCCTGAAAACTTTCCTTTTGTGGTGCTGGGCAACAAGATTGATTTGGAGAACAGACAGGTGTGTAAATAAATACATCTTCTCTTATTTAAACAAAAACATTAAACTTATTTGAAATGTGTGTTGTTACTGTTATTGGTTTCAGGTAACAACTAAAAGAGCACAGGCTTGGTGTCAAAGCAAGAACAACATCCCTTACTTTGAAACCAGTGCTAAAGAAGCAATCAATGTGGAGCAGGCCTTTCAGACAATTGCACGTAATGCTCTTAAACAGGTAAGCCTGGAACATCACATTTTGGGTTTTATCATTTTCATTCATTTGTTTCATTTATGAATATTTTCTGCCTAATGTTGCAGGAGACTGAAGTGGAGCTGTACAACCCTGATTTCCCAGAGCCGATCAAACTGGACAGAAACGATCGCGCAAAGCCTTCATCAGAACCATGCAGCTGTTGAGGACTCAGAAGATCCTTTGGGCACAGCCCTGACAACCCTGTCTTGCCTTGTCTATATTACCTTTCCCATGGCCCACTGTGTTAACCCCTAATGCTCAACCGTACAAGCAGCATCTCAGTCATAGAGAATATTACTCTAAACTCAAACACATGCTGCACCCACTTACATAAAAATCATTTTCTAGAAAAAGAGTCCCTTAGCCCAAAGACACCTGGAGGAGACATGATGGCATTTGCTTGTACGATGCTTTTGACTTTCCAGTGTTTCACGTTCAAAGCAGTGGTGGTTTGAGCTAATCTCAGTTTCATGTATGCGCATACCTTTGGTTCTAACTGCTTTTATTTTGATGCTTTATTGTGGTAAATCTAAGCATAATCTAAACATTGTCTCTTTTCATGTGCTTATAAGTCAAGTTATACTACTAATGTCATTTTTAAAATATTTTCTTTGGTAGTGGTGGTTGATTTCATGCTCTCAAGCCCATCACTGCTGGATGAATGGAGGAAACACTGCAGCCCTCTCCTTATACTCATTTGTGTTGTGGCTTAAACTTGTTTCACAATAATGTGCACTTGTTACCATACCTCACCCCCTTTTTAAATAAATCAATACTTAAGATACAGGGAAACAATACAGACTTAGGCCGAAGGTGCATTTACCTGCCACCTGCTAATTGATACATTTGTAGATGAGATTTGTCATGTAGATTTCACTGACTTTTTTGCACTTAGCTCTCAACTACAAAAGCTAAAGAAATGTTTAGGCATCTTGAGCCACAAAATGCATCATTGTAGCTCAGGTTGAGTGTTCTGTGTGAAAACATCATCTCCCAGATAAAGTGTTGGTACACCATTTAACTCCCAGTGAGCATGTCATTCTACTTATCTTGGGAGAAGATAAAGAAGTTAGCACTATTTTAAATAGTAGTTACTTTATTCTGTCATCTATTGCAACTCTTTGTTTCAAACCTCTCAATCATTTTTATTAGAGAAGCAAACAGCGTCTCCATATCTGTCTCTGCCATCTGCTTGTGTTGGCAATGTAAGTGCTTGACTTTTCTTTCACTGTATGTTTATGTTATGTTGGAAATTCATTATAGATACCATACTGTAAAATAAAAAAAAAATGGGGGAAAGTACTGGCATTGATCATTATACTATTAATATGATAAATGCATAGCATCTACTTGTATGAAATGTCTGCGTTTCAAGTGATGAGGGTAATAAAAGTCTTAAAAAAGGATGTTTATTGTGTTTTTATTTATTTACAAAGTAATATGCAAACATGCAAATAGTCCCAAAAGAATAATACAATTTACAAACTGAACTGCATTTTACTGTATTTTTGGTTTCTTGCTTGTCCCGTGAAGCCATTGATCAAGTAGCCCTGCACTCTTGGCCTCAGTATTTGATTTGTCTTTCATTTGTTCCTTTCCCGTTTCAACTACATCTTTTCTTTTTTGTGTAGCTCCACTCTTCAGCCAACTCATCATCATCTTGCTGCTAGCTGTCGGCTCAGGCTCCTACAGATCAATTAAAAAATGAGTTATTGTTTGAGACCAGTAAAGGAAGTAACCACAGTGATATGACTTTTTTTTTTTTTTACCTTTTTGGTTTCAAGACACACTGGTTGAAGGCATTCAGCTGTGTTATTGCGGGAATTATTGACTAGTGAGGAAACAGGGTGATAAGTCAAAATATTTTTAGATTGTAGAAGTTTAAGTGCATCCAAAGATTTTATCTCTCCAAAATCAAGCCACTTTCTGACTTCTTCCTCACCATCAAGGATAGCTGGCATTCTGTAAAAAGAACCGGCCGTTAAAAGAAATAAAGGCACACATAGTTCAGTGTAAAAACAAACCTGTCATGAATGCCTTCTAGATTGGATGAAGCATTCACTGTGACCACTGTGTAGGTGTAAAGGGGTTCACCACCTCCTGGGGGTGTCCAGCAGTCAAAAAGACCAGCCATAGTGAGTAACCGCCAGCCTGTCCATTCAGCCTTTGTTTCTGAGTCCTGCACAAAATAAGTGTATGCAGACGGATCTACATTAAAGGTGTGTTCACCCCAGCTACAAAACCTGGACTAGCCCAGGACTAAACAAAACTAAAATCACAACCAAATCAGAACATATAATATTATTAACATGGCTGAATTGTACCTATCTAAGACTTACTTTTGGTGCATAAATGTAGAATAATCTAATATAATCTCTAAAATATCAGACACAAACCTTAACTTGATCTGTCATTGTCTCCTTTGATTGTTCTGAGTCATTTGAGGCTGAACTCTCACTTTCATCCTCAGTTTCTTGCTTTACTCCAACCCCTGGATTTTGAGGAAAGTAGATGAAAAAAGGCTGCTTCTCTTTTGCTTGACGCTTCCACTCATAAAATCCATCAGCAAGTATGACACAGCGCTGTCCCTTTAACAGAGGATCCTTAGGGAAGACAACCAAGCAATCAAGAGTTGGTGTACTTACAAGTATAACATTCACAAGCACAATTACCTTATACGTTTTCTTCTCTAATATACTCTCACTGCGGCAGTTGTTGGTGCTGTACTGCATTTTGTTTGGGTCACTTTCTCTGAACCAATTTGGTATGAGGCCCCATCGCATTGAAGCCAACACACACTCGTCGAATGGAGCACTCTGAGGACAAATTATATGAACATTAAAGGCACAAGACTAAAATCACATCACGTCTTTTAATATCCAAGTTTGGTGAGGTAATATGAGTAATTACAAAAATAATCACAACTAATGTATTTATTAACAGTTTTGGAAACACAGTAACTTTTTTAAATATTTACTATTTCATCTTTATTCGTTTGGAAAACTAGTCACATGGTGAATTGGAGACATTACACCAGATTTAGTTCATGCAGAAACAAGTAATAGGGATAAGGCGGGTAGAGTGGCTAATGTTAGTAAAATGTCTTGCATAAATAAATACTCTTGGGAGTATTCTGACCTAATCTATCAGGAAGAATGCATGAGTGACTTTTAGTAACAGAAGAAAAATTAACTAATTTGACATGTAGATTTCTCGTGTTCGACAGGTTTTTGTCAGCAATTCCTTGTATACCTTATCGAAATGTCTTTGGGACAGGAGCACAGGACTGTTGGACTGAGGACTCTTGTTGTAGGACGGGCGATATTTGTCAGCATCTCCATCCTTCCAGCGAGGCTGTCTCCGGTGTCCTCCTCTGTTCCTGTACGTGCATGCTCGGCTTATCTCATCAGGGGCCAGTGTACAGGCAGTTCTTCCGCACATATTTTACTTAGAACTTTAGTTACCTATCAAAACATAACGTAAACAAAAATTATGGCTAACATGTCAACATACTAGCTCGTGCTAAGAGGTTTAAAACGACAGGGTCGCTTTGGCTCTATTTAAGTCTTGTAAGTTGTCATTTCTTACTGTTTGATCCGCACCTAAACTTCATACAGACGTATTCGGTATTTCTGTAAAAAGTTTTGGCATATCAGGGGAGTCAAAGATCTCCGAGTGCTTCTCCCGTGGCGCCTCTGCGGACGGAGATTTGCCCAGACAGCGCGCGAGTAGTCACGTGGCCCTGTGACGTTCGGCAGCGTCAACAACATCTGTGTTTCGTAAAGGCAAAGCACAGACCTATTATAGATGTATGAGGCAAAACGCACTTATTATACTGTAATATACTTATGCATATCGTATATTGCATTTCTTCTTATGTTCTGAGCATACCTAATGAAAGGAATTCGCATGATCAGATTGTCTTCAAACTTTTTGTACAGCAAATTAACTAGATAAATGTGTAGTAATCATGTCGTTTACATTATAGCATTACTCTTCTGATATTCAAACAGTTTTACTGTAGGCTTCTTGGTGCTGCATTAATCATGAAGTCACAATTGCTGACATTCATTAGACTAGCTATTAAAGTTTAATTACTTTACAGTTAACAGGGCAAGTACAGGTGTCAGAGGGTTGCATGTTTTGCTCTTTGTATGCAGCTTTACCCTTGTGGAAAAAAGGCCTATAGCTGCTCTTTTTTTGCTTAAAAAGGAGGTATTCAGTATATTGATGGACTGATGCCTTTTTGATATATTTATTGGCCAATGCACAAGGTTACATTCAGGTTGAATCTAGCCTACAAAAATGGTCTCAGTTGTACAGTGGTGCATCTGTCTCAATTATGAACCAATCAAGTCCTGAAGACAACAAGCAAGGTAAGATGATGTTCTTTCCTAATTATGTTCAATCTATGTGATTTGAACATTTTGTACTTCTCATTTTTGTAGCTCAAACCTTAGAAACAAAGATGTCTGGTATTTCTGGGCTGCCTCATATTGATCCAGAAAGACTGAAACAAGCCAAAATAATAGTGGATCATGCTATTCAGGTAGAATAAAATCAATAAATACAACAGAAAAAAGACAATGGTTAATCTATATCTGTTTTTCAGACACATAAAGTTTTCTCAGTCCAGGGTTGCTATCCCATTATCAGAAAAGCACTGAAGGACAGAGGATGGGTTGAGTGGTACATGCCTCGACCCAGAACCCATAGACACAAGCAAACAACTACATCAACCCCCACCAATGATACAAGTGACAGTGATGGTCAGTACAGAAAACATTTCAGCTTTAACTATTTCATGTGAAATTCAGACGTATTATCTATTTTCAGACAGTGTTGAGTATCAAAGAGAGCAGGACTCACTATGCAGTCTAATGGTGAGTAAACAAAAAGTAAACAAAGGCATGACAAACTGACTATTTGGAAATTGCACTATTGTCTTTTATCTTCCAGTGTTGCATGCTGCGAAATGAAATGTTGAAATTGTTTATTTTTATTGGACAAATCGAAAAAATGCCATTGACCCTAAAGTCTTGCTGAAAGATCAAATTACCAATCATTTCAACATGGCAGGCTGCTTCACAACAAAGGTAAATCTTGTTCCCCTTTTCTTAACAGCCTTCAGATCATTGCTATGTTGTTCCCTAATTCTAAAACAATTATTTACCAAATTATTATAATTATATTATTTTTACTGGCATTCACCTTATATTGTATGTAAGACTTGTGACTTATTTGGTGGTATTTATTGTCCACAGAGTTCAATCAGTCAAAATTGATTGTTGTTTTGAACTGCTCACACAAATTATTTTTTTTCAGGCAGGCTTGTGCATGAACTTGAGGAACTTACATTGGTTTGTCCCAGAAAACCCCAACACTTTCTTCCCTCGCTGTTACAGATTGGGAGTAGAGGATGAGAAGCAAGCTTTCACTGGTAAAATAGATTTTACAGTGCAGTGTTTCCCAACTAAGGCTATGAGAAGCAGGATATGCAAGCTCATTTACCATAGCATACTTGGAATGATTTGGAATGATCTCTGTCTTAGTGTCTATATGTAAATTATCTTAATCCAAATTGTGTGCTTGTGCAGAGGACTACAGACGAACTGCCTGCTTCAGTCTTTTAAAATACATTTTGCAGAAAGAGGAACACAATCACAATGACCAAACACTGCAAGGTAAATTGGCAACTATGCATACCGAGCTTTAACTGAATTTGACAACAGGAAACAATCGAAGCAGTCCCAAACCCAGTTGCTTTCTGAGATGATTGACTTTGCCCTGAAAGTGTGTGAAAACTTTCTGGGCAGCTTGGAACATAATGATGTAGACAATTGGGAGACAACATTAAAGCCTACTAATGAGCAATGAGCACAGTTCCTTCAGAATTATTACGCTATTGTTCAGTAAGTACATTGTTTGTGGGTGGGATTTTAAAATACTATACTGTTTTTGTAGAAAGTCTTGATTTGTGTTTTACCACTGCTGTTTGATTCACTAATGGACTAGACATCAGGTCCTGTGATCTTGATATGAATAGCTGTACAAGTATGCTGCAGAAGCTTAGAGCCGCTTGTCTACAGATAGACATAGATGGCACAGACAACATGTGGATCATCAAACCTGGGGCCATGTCCAGAGGTAGAGGTAAGAGAGTATCATATTTTTAAGGTTGTGTTTGTTGTCATATTAAACTAACATTGGTGGGGTTCAGAGGGCATCACAATATACTTTGCATCTGATGTCAACAACAGTCCCTGGGGGTGTGATGTTAACTAATGGCTCTTCTCTGTCTTAGGCTTTGTTAGACTTTAATCTGAGTTTTATTTTAATTTGACCATAAAGAACTGAATAACTTGGAACTACAACAAGTGAGCTGATTTGTGCTGTTAATGTTACAGTCACAAGCTAGTTAGCATTAACCAAGAGTTATTCATTCATTTCATTTAATAAATTTCACACTCACCACTTTTATTGAAAATCAAACACTTTGTTGACAGTGTTTGCTAATGTGTGCATTGTGACTCCATGGTAACTCCTAAACCTCCCACCATTAGGGATAGATGTAGAACACCCCCAGCATTATGTCACTGCAATGTATCAATATTATTTAATACAGATGGAGGGCCGCTATGTTCAACATTTGTGCATTTGCCTTTTAGATGTTTCAAGTGCAATGTTATCATTAGGAAAAAGTGGCTCTTGCCCCCTATCTGGGTGTATAACATGAGTTGTTGTGTAGTCCTTTGTTTTGTTTTTTTAGTGTTCTTCAGTTTTCTTCCTTCTGTCTCTATTTTATGTGCCAAGCGTTTGGAACATATCCTTAGGGTAGTCAATTGTGACCCAACGATCATCAAGGACAGCAAGTGGGTAGCACAGAAATACATTGAGAAGCCATTTCTGGTGCTTGGAACTAAATTTGATGTGCGGCAGTGGTTCTTGGTCACTGACTGGAACCCTCTCACTGTGTGGTTCTACACAAGGTGCTACTTGCGATTTTCCACGCAGCCCTTTACGCTTCATTCAAAGGATAGATGAGATGAAAGGATTAGTGGGAGAGCAAATGGCAAAAATAAATAAGTAAATAAAAAGGCAACGTCACACCTACATAAAAAAAATAAAAAATTCTTACAGCTCAGTCCACCTCTGCAATAACTCTATCCAGAGACATTTGAAACCATCTGAGCATCGTCATTCAGTTATCCCCACAGACAGCATGTGGTCTGACGATGACTTCAGGGCCTTCCTCATGTGCCAGGGCAGAGAATACCAGTGGGAGGCTGTGGTTGTCCCAGAGATGAAGAATGCTGTTATTTATGCATTACTGACAGCACAAGATGTCATGGAGCCATGCAAAAACACGTTTGAGCTCTCTCTCTTCATTCTTGGTAGGAAGTTTGATATAAATTCTATACTGCTTCTAACTGAAATATTTACACTTTACTCTTTTTTAGATTATGACCTGCATCCATGATTAATAGAAATCAAGACCAGTCCCACCATGGCACCATCCACTCCAGTTACAGCGCATCTTTGTAAGGCAGTGCAGGAGGACACAATACGGGTAGTGCTGGACCGAAGAGCAAACCCCACTGCGGATACAGGAAACTTCGAGATGATTTACTGCCAGGTCATGGAATTTTCTCATTTTTCTTTTCACCTAATGAGTTTAAAGCAGGTCTAAGTTAAAGTTGAAAAGTTATTTTTCATTTTTAGGCAGCTGTAACAATTCCTCAATATCTGGGAATCAAACTACTTGTAGAGGGTACCAAGATCCAAGTACCATTCTTCCAACTTTGTGAAAACGGACCAGTACAAGCAAAAAACGCAGGGCTACAGACAAAGCAGAAGAATAAATCTGCATGCAGCTTACTTTTCTTTTGTGATGCATGATCCTACAATAGGTCTTTAAGCATACGGCTACCTTAAAATATATAATGTTAGAAACAATTACAAAACATACTGTAGTACTGAATTTATCTATTATATATAGCAGTCTATCTCTGTGGTCAATCTCAGAGCTCCGGCCAATCTGCAATACAGTACCTGTTATGAGCATTTTTATATGGTGTCTCTGTTGGCATAGAAAGACGCAAGCAGTGGGTAGATAGCCAAGGATTAGGATAATTTGACCTTGTATAGTGGACTACAGTAACTTTGATGAGTTATATTTTAAAGTGATTTAAAATATAATGTGTACAGTTACCTGCTAGAAATACTATTGTGCTCATAGAGAGAAATGTGGACTCTCTCGGCAATAACGCCCGATATCCTGTAGGGGGAGGATGGTTTTCACTCACTGATAAACGTCCGCAAAAGAAGTCTACACCGGAAACAGCCCCTGGAGCAGATCTGCAGCAGAAATGGCGGCGTCCGTGTGCCGAGTCGGGAGCACTGTGGGTCGAGTCCTCGCTAAAACACGCAGTGTATGTATTGCGTCTAGTTCTCCATATTCTCGTTTACTTTGAGAGTTCAGTATCTGTGTAAGATGTTGTTTAGATCGCTGGTTAAGATGCAGACGGTGCAGCTTGAGTCTATAGTCAGCCGGCTTCAGCTAGCCTCCCTGAAACACAAGGTCAACGATAAAATTAGATTGTAGATCTTTTTCATGTCGTGTCTTGTTTAGTTATTGTTTTATTAAAGTGACTTACTCACTGTTGGATTTGTGTCGGGTTGTTCACAAGGTCAGCAGCCATTATATATGACACTTGTCCTCGTTTGCCCTCTTGTTGTGACAAGCTACGAGCGTTAGCTCAATGAATGCACGTTTAGTAACAGCATTGTTTAACATTGTTTAACATTGTTTACAACTAAATATTGTAATGGTTAAGCTGAAACCGCCTACTAATTTTTATTCACGTTTCCCATCCCACTATGATTTTATTGTACCGTTGCTTATAATTTGTTAATTTGCAGTGCAATCTTGTGTTCAGAAATGCTACTATTAAACGCAATGCATTTTATAATTTATCACATGATTTTTTTTGGTCACCTGTAGCCGATACTTCTGTCTTTGAGGCGTGGACAGACCTCTGTAAGTTATGCCCAGAGTCTGGTTGGTGCCCCTGAGACCAGACTGACCGCACTGGACAATGGCCTAAGGATTGCATCGGAGGACACAGGACATGCCACCTGCACTGTAAGAACCATAGACACTCAAGGAACTAGAGTCTTGAAATCCATTTCAGCAACTTGTTTCTGTGACAGGTGGGGCTGTGGATTAGTGCTGGCAGTCGCTATGAAAGTGAAAAAAACAACGGAGCTGGATTTTTCCTGGAGCACATGGCTTTCAAAGTAAGTTGTTTACCTGTTTTACCTTGAGATCATCCACTTTTACTTTGTTTACATATCTGTTATCATAGGGAACCAAGAAACACTCCCAGTCTGCACTGGAGCAGAAGGTTGAGTCCATAGGAGCTCATCTGAGTGCATATACCTCCAGGGAGCACACTGCGTACTACATGAAAACACTGTCCAAAGACTTGCCCATTGGTAAGAATGTTTTGATATTTCATACAGAAAAAGACCAATAGTGTCAACAGGCTGTAATCAAAACTTGACTTGTCATTTTTGCACTCTGTAGCGGTGGAATTGCTGGCTGATATTGTGCAGAGCTGTTCTCTTAACGAGGCTGATATCGAGCAGCAGAGGACCACAGTGCTTCATGAGCTGGAGGAGGTTGAAGGAAACTTACAGGAGGTGTGCTTGGACTTACTCCATGCTACAGCCTTCCAGGGCACTCCTTTGGGACACAGTGTACTGGGGCCCTCTAGCAATGCCAGGTATGTGGTACTGGCCTTCCACTTAAATCTGGACAATTCCTTTTATACTTTCTGTAGTCATGAGTAATGCTTGAATTTTCCCAGGAGTCTGACTCGCCAGGACCTAGTGGATTACATTAACAGCCATTACAAAGCTCCACGCATGGTGTTGGCTGCTGCTGGAGGTGAGTTCACTTTATCCTTGGTGAATTTTCAGAATGTCTTTTCTAGGTATTTCATAATTGTTTTTAATATACAGGAGTAAGCCATGAGGAGCTTGTTGGATTGGCAAATTCTCACTTAAGTGGCATATCATTCGAATACGAAGGAGATGCTGCTCCAGTTCTTTCGCCTTGCAGATTCAGTGGAAGTGAGGTAAGATACTTTTGATACTTTTAACCATTTAGTACATGGCAGAATTGGGAAAAAAATCTTGAATTGCTCTATTTCTCACCTTCCACGGTGGTAGGTCTCTCTCACCCTCATTCAGCTCGGGTCCTCTACCAGAGGCCTGGGAGCTTGAGAGTTCTGCGCAGTATCTTTGCTGTTCCCAGTACTGCACTTTTCTGGACTGAGATGTCCATTGTTTTTCCCGGTATCTGTTGTAGCCACTCTTCCAGTTTGGGGGTTACAGCCCCGAGTGCTCCGATCACCACAGGCACCACTGATGCCTTTACTTTCCAGGCTCTCTCCAGCTCTTCCTTGAGCCACTGGTATTTCTCTAGCTTCTCGTGTTCCTTTTTCCTGATATTACCATCGCTTGGTATTGCGATGTCCACCACCACGGCTCTGCTCTGTTTCTTATCCACCAACACTATGTCTGGTTGGTTCGCCATCACCATTCTGTCAGTCTGTATCTGAAAGTCCCACAGGATCTTGGCTCGGTCATTCTCCACAACCTTTGGAGGTGTTTCCCACCTTGATCCTGGGGTTTCCAGCCCGTACTCTGCACAGATGTTTCTGTACACTATGCCCGCCACTTGGTTATGTCGCTCCATGTATGCTTTCCCTGCCAGCATCTTACACCCTGCAGTTATGTGCTGGACTGTCTCAGGAGCCTCTTTGCACAGTCTTGTACTTTTTTTTTTTTTTCATTGCTCTCATTCTTTTGTAGATTTGCATGCGTGATGATGCTCTTCCTCTGGCTCACGTTGCTATTGCTGTGGAAGGTGCCAGTGCTACCAGTCCAGACATTGTGACTCTGATGGTGGCTAATTCAATCATCGGCAGCTATGACCTCACCTATGGGGGTGGAAAGGTATTTTTTTTGTTGTTGTTATTGTTATTATTATTATTGTTATTGTTATTATTCGTTTATTATTGTTTTAGCTTTTCATCATAGCATCCCCTTTAAGCTTTGCCCTCTGGAGGCTCTTGATGCCTTTAGTGGCCATTATTGAGGGGTAAATCATGGTCCTCTCTTAAACCTGGGTCAGTGGTCTCACCACTGACTCTGGACCTGTCGGGAGGAACAAAATTGTATAGTATAATCAGACTGGGACTGTGAAATGTCTTTTTAGTAAGATTAAATTATATCAAAATGCAATATTCCAATGCCATTGTCTCTCTTTATGTGTAGTTAATAACTTTTTGTCTTGTTCAGAATCTGAGCAGCCGTCTTGCTCGACTGTCCGTGGAGGAGAACCTGTGTCACAGCTTCCAGGCCTTCCACTCCTCTTACAGCGACACTGGCCTGCTGGGCATCTACTTTGTAACGGATAAGCACCGCGTTGAAGACATGATGCACTGGTCTCAGAATGCCTGGTTAGTACATGCATGGCACAGTGAAAAGTATTAGAATGGAGGATGCTAATAGTTTTTTGTTTTTTAAACAGGATGAACTTGTGCACCACAGTGACTGAAAGTGATGTAACCAGGGGGAAGATTGCTCTCAAGGCCAGTCTGGTTGGACAACTAAATGGTTTGTCATTTTGACCTGTGCTGAATCAAGCGAAAGAATGCTTAAATGATGACCAAAGGCTCAATTTCATATTTGTAGGTACAACACCAATTTGTGATGACATAGGCAGACATATTCTTAACTATGGCCGCCGTATTCCTCTGGCTGAGTGGGATGCTCGAATTGATGTAAGTTGCCTTCTCATTATTTTAACATTTACTGTTGCTCATTTAACTGACAATTTGTCAGTTAGTTTCATTGATTCCCCTTAAGCTTTGCCCACTGGAGGTTGTTGATGCCTTTAGTGACCATTATGAAGGGGTAAATAAAAACTCTCAGAAGACCTCTGTCAGAGCTTTCTCCTCTGACTCTGGACCTGACAAGAGCAACAAGATTCAAACTTCTGAAAGTCTTTTGAAGAAAATGGGGGGAAAAAAAACAGATTAACTTTTTTGCTAGATTAAACTGAATCTTTGTTTCAGGCTGTGACCCCCAAAATGGTACGTGACATCTGCACCAAATATATCTATGACAAGTGTCCAGCCATTGCCGCTGTTGGTGAGTTGTCTTAAGTTATTCCAAATATTCCTAGATGCCAGAGATTTTTTGACATGCATTTTGTTTTCTTCAATAGGTCCCATTGAACAGCTTCCAGACTACAACAGAATCCGCAGTGCTATGTACTGGCTTAGGTTTTAAGAGATTTTATTGTTTTGCTTAGTCTGTTCTTCTCCTTCTCCTCTAGCCCAAAATTCAATTTGACACACCGGTAAATTGTCATAACTTTATCTGTAGTTCCTCCATCAATTTTCAAAAGGCAGTTGATAAGTTAAAATCCATGTATGCCTCTAGGTAATTCAAAGGCAGAGCAGTGTTTCAATTGTCAACAGTGTTGAAATGAAATGTTACAATACACCTATCCAATTTCCATAGGAGGAACAGTTTATTTATGACTGTAACGTTGTTTGTCCACTATTGTACATACAGAAGCTGTCAATCACACAAAATAAAAAATATTCTGACATTTACTTGTGGATTCTCAATCTTTTTGAAAGGTTATGTGTCCCGGTAAATTACTGTTGTTTGACACATCTAATTGGCTTCTGAGGTGTGTTCTGTTTGAGCTGATGTAAAGGTGTTAAAAGTAACTTCATAACAAATACTCCCATTGCTGTAATTGAGTACATGTTTTGAGTTTTAAGGGAAAAGATCAGGCACTGCATTGCAAAATATTTAAAACTTTTATTTTAGGAGGTACTTTTTTGTGTAGAACTTTGTGGTTTTCTTTGCATATTTCCATGTAATTTGTAATTAGTCAAGTTAAGAACAGTGTAAAAGTAATTAGTTTAAGTAGTATTTTTCATGCATACTTTGTATTTTTTAAGTTCAAATTTGGTTGCATATTTGTAATTGAGTACATTTTCAGTACTCTTTCCAGCACTGGAAGTAACTTGATGTGTGCTGAATCCAATTTTTGAGTCTCATGATATCTCAGATGTCAGGTATATGTGTATAATACGTGGCTGACGTCTGGATGGGCTGTTTATATATCTCTGGGAAACTAGGATGGTCATTGGCCTTAGGGCCCTCGGCTGTTGTAGTGGGGTGGTTTATATAGTCCAATCATTAGTTGGATGAGTTTAATATCTTGATGGGCTGCCTGGGGGTCAGGAAATGAGTGTAGCTTTGTTTTATCTTTTCCTTGGACCTGATGTCACTCCTGGATTGACCCCCCCTTTCCTTTCTTTAATGCTGCCTCATTCTCCCTAAACATCCATGCTTTTTTGTTGCATAAGAAGTTTTGTCATATAAAGCACTTTTTATAATGCATTGGTGCAGTATCCTGCTCACAGAAGTAGAAGAACATTGAGATTAATAATAGTAATGTCCACCCCAAAATAGAACTTTGTAATTGCTCAAGTTTGGCTCTTAATAATATTCCAACACTGTGTAACATTTCTGGTGGAGGATCCATCAAATGCTTTTCTTCACAGTTTCCTCTCACAGTCAGAATGCCTGTTTTTCAAAGGTATTTTTGAGCTATATAACCACCTGTAATTTAATAAATATAAGGTAGATCTGTTTAAAGTCGTGCTGTGGAACATTCCAGGCAGAGCAATGACATAGAATCAAGTAGGTGACTGACCCTGACAAAAAACTTATAGTGTGCCTATAATAGAGTAGTTTAATGATATGAAAATAAAAAAAGCATTTAAGGAAATGGTAAATTGGAGACAAGTATTATTATTACAGTCACATAGAATAATTCTTTCTTGGTATTCCCACACCATACTGACGTTATAGCCTGTCCAGCTCATTACTTATCATTGCAGTTATTAGCATTGATGCAATGTTGATACAAACACAGACAAGAAACTACAATTCATTACAGAAAAAAACAATTGTGATCATCATCATGTTATTTTTAGAAAAGAAGACAGAGACCAATGAGTAGGGAGGAAATGAGGAAGCAAGAGGAGGGACCATAGATGTAAAGATAAACTGTAGAGTCTCCGTCAGCACAGAGTACAAGAAGACCTGAAATCCAACTGAACATCTGAAGAAGGACCAAGTCACTCACTGAAAAGAGTCTGCAAGATAAAGAAGAGATCCACCCCATTAGAGTCCAGCTTTGACACAACACAGACCTGTCTCCAACTGTGAGTATGATTATTATATTCTTAATCATTATTTATTTAATTACCAGAAATAAATTTTTTTCAACTCTGATGTTTCTCTATGCATAGCTTGTTACCACTTTTCACACAATTCAGATGATCATAGAAGCCAACACTACTGAGTATATTCATAAAGAGTTCATACTCTTCTAAAACTCTTTTGTATAGAAATATGGAATATGAATGCCAAATATTAAGTTAATGCCGACGCACACACAACAATCCTGACTAGATTTACTGTTTTAGTCAAATGTCTGTGATCTTTGTGTGCTTATGTGCCAGCAGTTCTCTAGATCCGACCATGACCAGTGTGGCTGTGTGTCTCTGCTTGGCACTGCTGTTGTCCGGACGGGTGCAGAGCCAGAGGAGTGTGGACCAGGGTGCACAGGGAGACCTAATGGCAGTCAATGTCCTCACTCTCAGTGGTGCACTCAACTCTTTGCTTCAGGCAGAGCAACAGAGCAGACTGCGAGAACCCCGAGCCCCCCGCCTGCCTCCCCAGATGTCTCCCAAGAGAGCCCAGCTTGGATCACGCTTCGCCCTGTCCCTAGACGTGCCCACCAGCATCCTCAGTGTGCTCATAGACTTGGCCAAGAACCAGGACATGAGAACCAAGGCAGCAGCCAATGCTCAGCTTATGGCACGGATAGGCAAGAGAAGGAGGTGAAATTATTTGGTTCAATTTTAAAATAATGTATACTTTTTTGTATTCAGCCAAACATTTTAGCAACACTCCAATACATTCAGAAAAAAAAAAAAAAAATACTATTTGAGCCAACCATAGCATATTGTTTTGTCCATGGACAAAACACTACCCATATTGCCAGCTGGTTTGGCCACCTGCTACAGAGGTTACAAAATGATTGGTTTATCACTGTTATTCTTTTACACTGAATTGAAATTTATCCATCGGATAATTTGCAATATTTCTAATCTGAGGTTAACAAATCCCATATGATTTTGACATCCTATCTCAATACCCAACATAAGAAGATAGTGATTACAGCCAGATACAATATTTACGATT